ATACGTTCGTACAGACGCCACGAAAAATTCTCTTCAGAATTCATTTTAAAGCAGTTTTATAATTTTTTTGGAGGAAAAGAGTGTTTTATTCTGTCTTACATACAGGTATCACGGAAATACATTGTTAAATTGCATTTGAAAGAGGTCAAAATGGGATATTTTCGTTGAAATATGCTGCCTGAAACTTTTCGCGATTATAATACTTCCTTTTTACTTCGTACAAGGAAGTTAAAAGGAAAGGAAAATAGGTTGCTATACATTAAAAGTTTTTTTAAGTGAATTATTTTGGCCAAAATTTAAAAAAAATATGCAAATTTTTGAATTTTTCTGTAAATTTTGCACCAAATTTTACAAAATTTAGTACCGTAATTTCGCGCGTAGTCCGCGGACTATCTGTGTTTAAAATGCGAATTTTTGAAGCTGCGGACTATCCACCAGTGCGGATAATACGCTGGTTGTTCACGGTTAAAATCGTTGAAATTTAAAAAACACGCTGTCGTGAACTGCCGATGATCAAATATAAAAAAACCGCGAGATTCCAAGACAACATTCGTATGTATCGTTCGATAGTAAACCATAGAGCATAGTGCAGAACGAATGAGTAGTAGCAAGTAGAGCTCCTAAACTCCAGCCTGGCGCATCAAGTGATGCCAGATATGAGCACTCAGCGCAACCACAGTCTTGTATCCTTCGCACTGCTTTAGCGCAACTGCCGGGAGAAGGAAAAGTAGTTGATGCGTCAGCTCGATTTTTAGGAGCCTTAGTGCTTGTGTACCTGGAGGCCTGGAGTACGAAAAAAAAACCGTGATTCATTTACTTATAGCGTGGTTTGGCAACACCGAGTGAGTGGGGTCAAAGGTCACATTTCATTACCACTTATCACGAGGATACCACGTTGCACAGTATTTTGTTTTCGTATTTTGTCTTTCATCTTCGATGACGTTGATGAAACATCGCCGGAGTTTTACTGCCGAGTTTAAACTCAAGGTAGTTGAGAAAGCTGAAAAAGATGGAAATAGAGAAGCGGGCCTGTTATTTTGAAGTGGACGAGAAAGCGGTGAGAAATTGGCGCAAACAAAAGGATGTGTTAAAAAGCATGGGAAGAAAGCGATCCAATCGGCACGGAAAAGTAAAATGGAAAATGACAGCTTTAGAGGAAAATTTGAGGAAAACTGAGATGGGTTCTCGACCAAAGAAATGCCGTTTGAGACAAATGAATGCTGAACGACCATGAAAATTTCAACAGTTAAAATCCGTCTCCGAGCGAAGTCCATGGCAGAAGAGAGATGAGCAAAGATGGCAGATAACGGATTTCAAGGGAGGAATAAATTGGGTTTACCGCTTCATGCGTCGTAAAAACTTGAGAGTTCGCACCAGAACGACAATGTGTCAGGCTGTTCCGGACGACGTAGATGAAAAAAAGCTTCTTTCCTTCAGTTTACAAGGAAAGTTATTGCAGAAGGGAAGTATTCCCTAAAAAATATTATAAATATGGACGAAAGTTTCCATTAACATTTGATTGCCCACCGAATCGCACCGTCGATACTTGTGGAGTGAAAACAATATCAATAACAACAACTGGTCAAGAAAAGACCCAATTCACAGTGATGCTTCGCCTGCTGTGCTGACGGCACAAAGTTGAAGCCGCTCTTAATCTTTAAGAGAAAAACAATTCCCAAGGAAAATTTTCCTCGAAGCGTCGTAATACGGTGCAATGAAAAAGGTTGGTGCAACGAGGACATTATGCTCGATTGGTTTCAAGAAGTTTGGAAGAAGAGAGAAGGTGCCTTTTTCAATTCCAAAGGAGTACTAATTATGGATTCCATGAGGGCTCACATAAAAGACAGTGTAAAGGCAGAAGCTAAAAAAGAAAAAAAAAAAAAAAAAAAAACATCGGTGCTGAACTTAGCGTTATTCCAGGAGGTTTAACAAAAATCCTGCAACCTCTGGATATTAGCGTGAACAAAAGTTTCAAGTCCCACGTACGTGCTTGCTGGGAGATCTGGATGTCGGAAGGTTTACATACTTTCACAAAAGGAGGAAATATGAGACGCGCTTCATACAGTGAAGTTGCCGAATGGGTCGATAAATCCTGGAAAAGTGTTAAAGTGTCAACCATCCGATCGGGATTTATAAAAGCCAGGATTGTTAGTGAAAGCGAGGAAATTACTGACAGTGAAGATAGTGATGCTGAAAATGAACTTTCGGACACTCTTCCCGAAAATATATTAGAACTGTTTAATTCTAATACCGATGAATCGGACTTTGAAGGTTTTCCTGAATGTGGTAGAATGCGTGATTAATTAATATATGATTAATTAGTAAGCACTGTATCACTGTTGTTCGCATTTGCAGATTTACATTATTCTTCTCTTATTTATTATTATTTTTTCTGAAATTTTAACAACGAATAGATAGAAATATTTTCGTAGATAGAGACCAGTTCTTGGTTCGGGGATGAAAGGAAGAAAATACCGGCGGGAGGGGGTGAATGCTAATTTGTAACAACGGCTGTTCACGTTGTGTGTTCTTAATTATTAATAGCTCTTAAGAACCATGAGCAGAATCATGAGGTTTCCAACCTCTAAAAATAATTTGTTTCCGTAGGCCGCAAAAATATGCATGTGCATTTTAAATAATTAAATAATGCTTTTATTTTTATTATTGGTTATTGTGATCTAAAATTATGAGAATAATCATTTTTTATGGCGTAAAATTTTAACAAGATAATATATTGTTAATGCTTTTCTAACAATAACCTTTCAGAGGATGGTAGGTGTGACATAAATAGATGATTAAATTGAAATAAAAAAATATTATTGATTATCTAAGATGACAGAATAGTTTGATGCATCACCATGGTCATCAAAATTAGCAAACCACTGCTGATGTAAGGAATATATTGTTTTCTGTGTTAATTGGAATTTAAGACAAATTTTTTTCGTTTCTCACGTTTAACCGGTTAATTTCAATACATTAATACTAATTTATAATTTTAAATGAATTTTTATTTCCGTTATAAATGCTTATATATTGTCTTATGCTTAATATATTCTTTTCTGTGCTAACTTGAATTTAATTCAAATTTATTTTCGTATATCACGTTTAACCGGTTAGTTTTACATCTACATGCTTATTATCTGTGAATTTTTACTACCATATGCTTGTTTTGTCTGCTAACTTGAATTTACATGCACTAAAAATCACGTTTACAAAATATCACATTTACGGCTCGGCTCATCGTCGATGAACCGCGAGCTTGGCGAGTAAAAATGCCACGGCGAAAACCCAGCACTGTTTTTATTTGTATTTAGCGTTTTATTTCTGAAGGTATATTAGTAAGCAAGTACTTTTTTTCTATTTATACTTAGTTCTTTGTTTCTAAAATACATTAATATCGCCGTATTAAAAAAACGCAATTTCGGACGTATAGTCCGCGGACTATCTGACGATTTTTGAAATTTTTTTATATAAAATCTTGTCTGCGGACTATACGATGGTGCGGACTATACGTGCGAAATTACGGTACTTATGCTTAATTTGAGTCATAGAATCGAAATATGGAAAAAAATGGCATGTCATTTCAGAAAAAGTCCAATTTTGTATCAAAATACCTATATTATAACAGTGTGAAAATAGGTTGCTATAAGTTCACCAAGTGAATTATTCTTGACTCAAACTGAAAAAAATGCGCCAAGGTAAATTTTTAAATTTCTCATCAAAAATTACAAAATTTAATGTCTAGGCATAGTTTGAGTCGTAGAATTGAAATATGGAAAAAAGTGGTATGTTATTTCAGAAAAAGTGCAATTTTGTCGCAAAATAAGTATGTTAGATCAATGCTATGTATAAATCTAATGTATATCATAAGTCGCGCTTTCGAGACATGGAAAATGCAGTTTGAATTTCGTCAATCAGCCGACTAGAACAGGAGATATAGAACTGCCCCCCTTTTTTTTTTGTGCAGTATACATAGATAGGTAATTTTAGTGAAATTATAAGTAAAATTATCATATTTCTTTTATACAATGTAACCTGAAAATTCTTGAGAGATGAACTTTGTCAGAAAAATAAAAATACAGGGGCAAGTCTTTTAACATTGAGTAAATGGCTATCTCGCTAATTTCGTGATTGTTTTAGTGACTAATTCTGTTGCCAGATTTGGCTAGGAACGGCCAAAAGTGGCTAACATTGGTAATATTTGGGTTCAGTCCCTGTATAACTGCATTTGGTATTGTAATTGAATAACTGCAACTGATCCCTATATGTAACGGCTTTGGCAACTAATTTTTGTGGTTAAATTTGGCAACTATTTGGTGACATTTTGATCTGGTCCCTGTATCATTGTAATAGGTATTATAATTGAATAAATGTAATTGATCACTATACTAGCTGTAACTATAATTTGACCCTCATATTGCTTTCCAGTAATTTTGAGAAGCTGAATGTACTAGAAATATCTAAGTGGCAGGGTGAAAACAAGGCTAGAGAGAGCATCTTCTCTCAGTGGTTGTTGTTAACTGTTAGCTCAGCATGAGTTCCGAGTACTATCTCCAGTTTAGCTTCGCTTTTTAGCTGTGCTTTGCATTTTGTTGTATTTAACATTTATAGTAGTTTAAAATGTAACTACTGATTGTACTCTGTGATATTGTGAAGAGTTGTACAATTATTTTTGCGGAAGGATCCAGATCATGAAGTGTTTCTTTTGATAAAATAAATTTTATCAACCTATCATCAGAGTTGTGTGCATTCAATCTTTTATGAACCAATACACTTGTAACAGTGTATTGGTTATCCATGAATATTTTCTTACTATTATATGAGTTTCAGTTATTAAAATAATAAATTTTTGGCTAATGAATTATTTATAGTAAAAAATACAATTTATACTTAATTTTTTCTTCTCAGGATTTTTTATGTTGTTAAAAATAATCTTGTCTACAATATATATATGTGTGTGTTTGCATACGTGTATATGGTTCGCATGTTTTTATCTGTAGGTATCATCTTGCTGAAAGTATTGATGCTCAGTTGAAACGTATGTCTGAGGATATATGTGAAATTATTGAACATGTGAATACAGCTAATAAAACTCAAGATGATAATGATCCTGTAAGTATTTTCTTTTTTTCCTTAAGTATATATGCAGAGTGTCTCATAAATGTTGCGGTGTCTTCTGGTGGAGGTAGGACACATCATAAGGATTAAGAATTGCATAGGAACACATGCCTGGAAATGTCAGGGGTAAGTGGTAGCAGAGGTAGAAGATGGGAAAAGAAACAAGAGTTATTAATTTGAAACATATATTGGACATAAATACAAATGGTGTACGACAGTTTGAATGTTACAACAGATGCTCGAAGTTTGCAACATCAGACGCCAAACATGCCGGACACCGACGGACTATTTGAATGCCACGAATTATTGATCTTTCTGGAACAGGTTCTTCCGGCACTGACAGACCATTTATTGCCGGACATGTTTAAACATACTAGGAGTTTCTGTGATTGAAGCAGCTGCACAGGCAAGTCTTGGCACGAAATCTATTTCCGACACTACAGGATCATGATACATGACATTTTTGATGGCAGAATCAAGATAAGAATCAAAAAGAAATCAAGCCTTGATGAATCCGGTTGAGCATGGAGGCTAGGGAACTGGTCCACCACGCCCAGTCCATCGATGTGGGAATGATCTGTTCAAATGGCTATGAACATCCAGTCCAAAATGAGTCCAAATCTTAATGACCTGTAGTCACACAAATCTTCATGCAGATGTGCAAACAAACTGTGGTATGGATGAGAAGAAGAAAAGAAGTGTTCTCAATAAATGCGTTCAGTGGTCCGTCCATTACCCTCAGCTACTCCATACACTTAGTGCATGTCTGCAAGATCCCAGTTCGTATAGCGTTCCATGGTCTTTGTATGGTACTGAATGAGGCAATCCTCTCTTTCCACTAGCATTCTCCTGTTCAGCACCCCCTGGTGGCATACAGTGACATTTCTGGGCATGGGTTCCTATGTAATTCTTAATCCTTATAATGTACCCTACCTGCCCCAGAAATTTGTCGCTGCATTTACGAGACACCCTGTATATATATATATAAAATGAAGATATGAATGTACATCACTAATGAGGACTCAAATTTTTATTTAACTTTTTATATGTTTCAGAATGTACATAATTCCCTATTCTCAGAAAATATAAAAATACAACCTCTATCATTATAAATGAACATTTTAAAATTGTCTGAGAGAGACATGTTGAGCTGCATATATCATATTGTATAATACCCCTTTCGTGATTTTATAGTTTGAAAACATTAAATATGTACTGTAAGTTTTGAATTTTTTTATACTGCAGTATTATTGGAACTTGAATCATATGCTTAAGTGTATGTGTGTGGATTTCTAAAAAAAATTCTTCTTCATGTTTCCTGTTATTGTATTGTCGTTTTGAAAAACAGCAATACAAAATTTGCTACATTTCTAAATCTTAAAATTTAATATTATCCCTTTTCATAAAATCAAATATAATGACAAATTAAGTGTTCAGTATACTACTTACAAATGTGCATGCAGCATAATGATAAATATGTCATTAGCATGTTTTAATTGCACATTCCACACATCTTATAACATATTTGAGAAAATAAGATTAGAATATAAAAACTATCTTCTTATATAAATTTTAATCTGAAAATAAATCAGGAAATATTTTGAAAGAAAAATATATGCTCTCTTAATTTATGTTATTCTAATGTACAAAATATGCAGGTAGTCTAAAGATTTTATTAGAAAATTATAATTTTTGGCATTAATGTTATAAAATTATTTTACATTAAAAGTGTTATTAATATCAGATATCGAAGACAGAGAAGCATATTTTCATAAATGTTTTATTTTATTTAACTATTCAGCTGTGCTTTATTTTATTTATTTTGTGTGTGTGTTTTCTCTCTATGTATTTTCAACATTATTCTGCCAAACATATTCATTCAGATAAACTCAATATTGCTTTTCAAGATGGTAAAATTTTGTTAATACTGTAAAGACCTATTTAAAAATTATGACGATTAAAAAAAAGGGGGGAGGGTCTCTTTTCCAGATTTAACCAACATTTCCTTTGATGTGCTCCAACCACCTATCTAATAATATTAAGTACATTTACCAATATTTCATGGATGCACATAATGTTCTACATAACTAGGTACATCAAAATAGTGAACGTTATCTGTGTAACCTGCATTGTTTATATGAAAATGTGAAAGTTGAGTTAAAGTAGTAACAAAATTTTATTTTTTCATTTATTAAACTATTCCATTATTTATATTAATGAGTATACATGGAAAGTATTTTTAGTTACATATTCATTATATGCTTCATAAGAGTTTTTTCCCAGAAAGTTTTAAAAAAATTGGAATGTTGCTGATTTTTTCATGTTTAAACCATTGAATTAATGATGCTTCCAGCTCATTGCATGAGTTCATTTCTTGTTTTCATTATGTACTGAATTTAAAGACCAGCAGCAAGAATTGTTTTTAAAAAAGATATTGCTACGTGCTGTGCCTTAGCAGAAGCTACTTTTAATAATGATAGTTTTTCAATCTTCAAATCTTTGCCATTTTTGAAAATGTCAATATATTGTTAGCTTTTTCATATAATTTTTTTAAGCTTAAAAAATAGATATATATATATATATATGGTGGAGGGGAAAGGAAGAAAATAGCTATTTGGTGTACAAATATATTTTATACTCTTTTTTTTTTTTTTTTTTTTAAATAACATTGAATCTTTGTTCAGAGAAATTGGAAGAATGTATTTTATTCAAAGTATTGTCCATCGTTAGCTATGACTTTTTCCCATCTTTCAGGTAGCATATGGATTCCGCTTTTAAAAAATTCCTCGTCTCTTGAGACGATCGTAATTTTTGGCTTCTTCGTATGAAGTGAAGTGCTGCTCGGCCAGATCATGAGTAAGTGACCGTAACAAGTGGAAGTCAGAAGGAGCAATGTCTGTGAATATGGCAGGTGAGGTAGGACATCCCATTTAAGTGCTTCCAAAGTTTCATTGATGAATTTTGCAGTATGTGGGCGAGTGTTGTCATGCTGAAAGATCACTTTGTCATGCCTTTTGGCATATATTTGAGCTTCAATGCTTGGCTCAGTTGCATGAAATGTTGTTTGTAATGTTTTCATAAGGCTGGTTGCATAAGGCTGGAGTAGCTCATAATTTCATAAGGATGGTTTCATAAGGCTGGAGTAGCTCATAATAGATCACTCTGAGCTGATCCCACCAGATGCACAGCATTAGCTTCTTGCCTTGAATATTCGGTTTGGCCGTTGAAGTTGATGCATGTCCGATTTTCTGTGCTTTGTGTTGTCGTAGTAGATCCATTTTTTGCCCCCGTCACAATTCGATGCAAAAACCCCTTCTGATTTTAGCCTTTGGAACAGTTGTTTGCATATGAAAAAACGCCGTTCGACATCTCTTGGCCTGGAGTTCATATGAAACCCAATTTCCTTGTTTTTTCACCATACCCATATCCTTGAGAAGCTTTGAAATCGCTTCTTGAGTCACTCCCAAGCTTTTGGCAAGCTCTCTTAGAGTTTAGCATGAATCTTGGTCCAATAACCCCTCTGACTCAGCATCTTCAAATTTTACTGGTCATATGTTTTTCTTGATGGAGCATGTTCTCCATATGCTTCACATAGCAGTCGATGTCCTTCAGCTGCATTTTTGTTAAAATTAAAACAAAAAAGGAAGTGCTTTCCTGAAATTTTGTCTTGTTTTGTACCAAAGTTGACACCGCTTGAGCAAAAGAGAGTTTGCTGTTTCAGTGGTGTAGCAAGCATAACTGGCGCCCGGAGCAAAATACCTTTGTGCCTGCCCCCCCCCCCCCCGCACAAAAAAAACTTTCAGGAATATAATATATAGAATATATTTTTAATAAGAAATTAATGCAAATAATAATAAAATGCTGAATCTGCCATGAAATACTAAAAAATATATTAAGAATAGTCACTACCTAATTACACTAGTCTTAGATTCGGAAATGCATCTGTGTCAGCCGAAAAATCAGACATATGATGATGTAGAATTAGTTAAAAAGATGTTATTTATTTTACATATTTAGATAAGTGTTTTTAAAAAGTACAGTTTTTAAACAATTAAAAGTTTAATATTCATTATAGATAAATAGATATGTGGAAACTTGCCTACTACAACTCAACTCTGCCAGTCTGGTAACACATAGCAACCAAAATCAAAATAATAGTTATTCTATTCAATTGCTATAATTATTTAACGATCTGTCTAAAAAAATTGTACTTCCATAATTGGTGACCCATATTTATTACGAATAGCAACCTTCAATGTTGCACGAATATGGAGTTTATATGTCAAAATTCTGAGCAGCAGTAAGTTATTCAGTGTGATGAGATGACACCTGTCATTTCACCTAAGTCACCTAATGTCATAAGACATTTCACCTGTCATTTCAAACGTTATGCCGCATTCCGGTGAGTCAACAATTTCAAAGGCTATATGTATCGTCTGCTGCATTTGAGCCGCCAATTTCTCTGATTTAAAGTACCAAGAAACTTGTGTCACTATGTACATATTGATTATTTTTCTGCATATTATTATTGTGCATATTCTAAACATATTATTACTGTGCATATTTTATTGATCTAAAGTAGTTGACAACGATACTGCTTCATAATTGGCGCGAGTGGCAGCTAAGCCACCTCCCTTTTGTCGACGAGACCCATCGTTATGGTTCATTCAATTGGATGCGCGTTGAGTCACATTACTGCCGACGAAACTCAATTTTATACAGCGATCACCGCGTTAAGAGGTTATCACATATGGCTAAAATTCACGAGCTGGCCATTCCAGCACAAATACACGCAGTGCAGGCTCCTGGTTCAGGTATTGTGGTGTTACAGGCTCAAATTGGTGTTTTTTCAAAAGAGGTTGCTCAGTTAGTAGCCATCCAAGCTGAACCTTTTCAACTCAACCGCACCACATCACGTGGTCGAAATACACATAGTAGCCCACTGAGGAAATGTTACAAAAGCCCTCCTCTGGGGATTTGTTTTTACCACCACA